GTTTGTCATTTCCTTTTCTGTGCAAAAATTTGCATAAAAACCAGACATCGGTCTGCAATGATCTCCATAACTATACTGTTATTTCTACTTGTATGAGGATCCATGGACAAGAATCCTATGGAATTCCAGCAACATCTGCAGGGTGATGGCTCTTGACTTCATTCTACCATTCTTCATTCTATCTTTGTGAATATATTCTAGTACATGTATATACTGTTGTTTCCGCTGGTTTATTTCTGTGAAGCATGTATGTACTATTTGTTGATAACATCTTTCACAGCACAGCAACAACTTCTCATTTTTTACCACTGCATGAATGTATATATATATTCCAAATAACTGTCTAGGCCACTGCCAGTTCCGTATATTGTGGCATGTGGCCTTCCGCTCGTCCCTTTTTTTCTCCCACGCTGATGAGAGCGGTAGATTTGTGGGCTGATTTCAGCTAGTTTCATTCCACCCTGTCTTGTTTCTGAGTGACTAGAACATGATGCAGGCTGAAGTGACGCAAACTCAACCACTTCTTTCTACTGTAGTGGGAGAGGTGGTGAGAGAAATAGTTCTTTAGGTTGTACTGGACCGTCTGATGAATTTAAAAGCTTTGTTTTTTAATGATATACCACAGCAAAAAGCCCAAAGAAAATCATACTGTAAACAATTACTGTCTTTTTGAAAAGTAAAAGTTGAAGTAAACAGTCCACTGGCATAGTCTTCCTGCAAAACATGTGCGAGGACAGAACATTTACATAATTACAATCTGAACATTAATAGTACATTAATTTCAGATGAACTCAGATTCAATTGTAGTAGATTTTTTTGGTCAGACTGAATAACTATGAGAGGTTCATTTAAAAATAAACACAATGATTTCAATCTATTATTGTTTTTTAATATTTCCAGTATATGCTGCATTAGCAATTCTCAAACTGGTCCTCAGGGCTCCCCAGCTGCTCCATGTTTGTGCTCTATCCTGATGTGTTGCCAGTTGGTTTGGAGCAAAAATGAGGTCCAACTAGGGACCCGTAGACCAACTGGGCTAGTGAGCTACACTTTGGAACAAATAAGGTCTGTTTGACAAGCATTTAGCATTTGGACTGGGAGTTGCAGGAAACATCATCACAAAAGACAAAACTCCTTCTATTAAGTTGCAATTTTCAAGATAACGTTTGGAGTCCAAAATTAGCTTCTTTAGTTTAGCACTAGAGCCATGAGGCTAATGTTGCTAACAAACACTACAAGTCAATAGTCATCCAAATCTTGGTGTAAATACATTGCCAAAACTTCTCTCAGTTCGCTCAAATCGCAGTCAGGTCGTTATTACGGTCACACAGACTTGATGTGACCTTAGACTCAGTATGTTCTTACTTTAAATCTTTTCTAAGTCCCCAAGTAACTTAGGAAGTTTTAAATGATCCTTTTACTAAATTTCGCTACACTACAAATCTGCAAGTCTTAACTAGTAACAACTAACTAATGTGTATGTCGCTTTAAAAGAATGATAAAATGTTCATATATATAAATGTGCTTGTGCTGACTTACATACATACATACATCTTCTAAACCACTTATCCTTCTGGGTCACGGTGGGGTGCTGGAGCCTGTCCCAGCTGTCATTGGGCGGAAGGCAGGATACACCCTGGACAGGTCGCCAGTCCATCACAGGGCAGACAGACACATTCACACACACATTCACACCTAGGGGCAATTTAGCATGTCCAATCAGCCTGACTGCATGTTTTTGGACTGTGGGAGGAAACCCACGCAGACACAGGGAGAACAGGCAAACTCCACACAGAAATGACCCTGGTCGCCCGGCCGGGAATTGAACCCAGGCCATTCTTGCTGTGAGGCGACAGCGCTACCTACTGCACCACCGTGCCGCTGCTTGTGCTGACTTTTTCCATAAAAATATCCAATGTAGAAGGGAATTATGTGTACAAACTGAATATCTATAGCCATTGTCTGTTTATTTTTTAATATTTCTTGGTGAAAACCAAATATGCAGTATTTTAAACTAACTCACTGGACTGCAGCTGTGGGTGTTTAACTTCATACTTGGAGTGAAAGCCAGGGCAATGATTAGAGCTGTAAGTAACATCATAGTGTACAGGATTTAGTGTTTTCAGCTTTGTTAACCAAAAAATTCATTTTTTATATTTTGTGTGCTTTTCTGTTGGTTTCCCCAACACTTGCACCTGCTTAGAGGGAGGTATAAATATTTAATAACTAAGCTCAACATTAAAACTAGTTTGTGTGATGCAACTAGTCCACATGTGAACTTAAGAACAGCTGGTGTAGGTTTACAGTGAAGTTTGAATCATTTTTTCAGTAAGTCATGGTGTCTTAAACCACACTGGCAAGTCCTGGGATGCAGTTTGAGAAAAGTTTTGGGGGGTGTGTTTTCGAAAAATTTCTGTAACTACTGACCTCTAGTGTTTATTAGCAATGCTAGCCTTGTAGGTCCATCAGTAACCTAAAGAAGCAAAATTTTGACCCCATACCTGTCTTGGCTGATGGACTATCTTTGGGGCTATAAGAAAAACTGTGGAAAATCTTTCGCCAAGCCATTCCAAAGGAATTCTGATGATCAATAAACCGGCCGGTCCACCTAACTAAAAAATACAGGTCTGGTCAATGTTGTCTAGTGAGCATTATTTGGGCTCAGATCAATGACAGAGAAAAACAGTTCATCAGACCTGTAATTATCCTACTGCTGTAGTGATAACAGTTTTGGTTTTCACACTCTCACTGCTGAGTAGTAAGATCAGTGCTATTCTCGAGCTCTGTATAAAATGTTAGGTGTAAGACGGATGCACACCTTGCACTCTGAGGCAGGCGGATGTTATGACAGTGCCCATGTCATTGGTGGCGATGCAAGTGTAGGTGCCGCTGTCCTCTACAGACACGGCTGAAATGCTGAGGGTCACCTCACCTGTTTCACTGGACAGAGTAGAGACAGAAAAGCATAACAACACTGAACAAGAGTGGATTGAGAAATTAACTGGTGAATGATACTAGCGTAATTCCACTGAAATATTTGTACATTGGTTAACACCATCCTGTGTTGTGATGTAACTGATAAAACAGCTGCTACTCCATGCACTCAAAGAGAGCTAGAGAGACACCTAGTGGTCGAGGACTGTATGTGCATCAAATAATAAACAAAAGTGCATGCGTGTACCTGTGAGAGAGTGTGTATCGTCCTCCGTCGGTCAGCGTTGCCTGGTCCGGCCCTCTCCAGGTGACTGAGGCTTTTGGCTGACCGCAGATTTTGCAGCGGAGGGTCACACTCTCTCCACTCTCGCACATCACCTCGCTCAGAGGCACCAGGAACTCTGGGGGGACTGCCAGGAACAACAGAGAATACTCAACTCTTTTACATCACATTCGGTTAAAAGCACACCAGCTTTCAAACAGTGTTTCCAAGAACGCGAATGCAACAGTCAGACATACCATCATAGATGAAGTTCGGATTTAGAAGCTGAAACAGAAGGTGAGAGATTGAGTGGGCCCATTCGTCAAACATGTCATTTCTAAAGAGCAGCACAGTGAAATCAGGAAACGTTCAAAAGCAGCAAAGTGAAACACGAGTGGGGCACCTTTACAGAAACTTTATTGGCCGGTGCTTCTCTGGACCTGCGGTGACCATTCTCCTGCCTGGAATCTTTCCTGCCCTCTTTCTTCTCTGACTTACGGCGGATACGGAGTGCCGTGTGCCACGAGGACGACTTCCTGAAGAGAGAAGAAGAGAAAGAGACGAACAAATATATATGTGTGGACAAAATGCAGCCGGTGCAAAAGAAAAACATGTTATATGTTATGTTTCATTTTTTCCAACATGTTAAGCTCAGTAAATACATAAAAAATGTGCACTAACATTTGCCATCTTTGAGTAAATTCCCAGAAGAAGAAGTGTTAATTACATTTTTTGAAATTAAGAAATTCTATTACAGTAAATAGAAAATTACTGTGTATTTATCATTTACTAACTTATTGGTTCCAAATATTGAAATACTATTAAAATACCTTTTGGTGTCTAGGTTATGGTTTTTTAATCTACACCATGTATTTATTACTGAATAAAATAACAGCAATTATTAATATGACAAGTGATTCCATGTGTTTGAACGACAGTTTACATGTTCAGAAAGAATCTTTTTCTAAATCAGCTCTAACATCACAATCAGGTATTTGTAAATCCCTTTTGTTATATCAAAATTATTGTTTGTATTTACTTTAATTCTAGAAATTTGCTTAATTTTCCCAAAATATAACATTTTTTTGTTACAGTAAAGTTTTTTTGCTTTCTATTTTTGTCTTTGGAAATTTATCACAAACACAGAACTGAGTGGTTGCACATTTACAGCTGTGAAGAAAAGCAACACCTCTCAAACCACTTCCTTTAGTGTTTCAGAAAATTCGTTGCCGGCTCTTTATTTGACTAAAAAGAAAGATCTTAAGGAGAGCTCAATAGTGCACTGAAATCTCATTACCCCATATGGCTCAGGGCTGCAATCAACCACATACTGTTTTGGCCAATGCAACAGGATAAACTGACTGTATTTCAAAGCTACAGCACCACTCAAAAGTGTGAATGCTTTTTATAAATTATTTTATGGCTCATTACACTCTAAGGTAATAATATAATCTTGCTGAGACCAATATTTCTGATTGTAGTTATGCCGTCTATGTTATTTTGCAGTTTCGATTTGTTCTCCATTATTCTAACATAGAAAATATTAGGAAGGCTTTTCTTTATTTTTATCAGTTGTAGTGTCTAAACTGTTGACTCGTGTTGTATGTTAAAATCCACACAGAGGCCTGAGGTAAATCTTGAGCATCTAGTGAATGGTGGTGTTCGTACTTGAGGGTTGTGTCGGAGTAGTCAGGGGTGCTGGTGGACGTGTGTCCCAGCACGAATCCGGGGATCCAGCCCTCGGCGGCGGGGCCCTGCTCTGTTCCTGCTCGGAACACCAGGAACATGTTCTGCTGGTTGGAGGCCAAAATCTGCACGACCTCGCCCTGAAACACACTGATCTCATCCTCTTTCACAGCCACGTAGTCCTGGGTCACCAGCATGGTGGATACACTGCTACTGCTGCTGCTTTCACTCTGATTTGACAACACACACACACACAAACACACACACACAAAGTTTGGATTAGAATCCATATTCAAAAAAGTTAAACAGAAACAAGTGAAGCACAGTTATGTGTGTACAACATATGTATAATTACTCTCAAATAACTGTAATTCTAGGAGGACTTTGTTTTTTGTTATATTTATTTTAATAATTTTTGTTTGTTAGATTTTATATGGTTACTAAAAAAAATGCAACTGAATGATTTAACCATTTTAATCTGTGTAACAAACTTCATCAATTCAGGTAACATGAAACTTTATAAATAAATCGTTATATAGTTCATAGTATAGTATAGTATACGCAGTTCAATGCTTAGGCCACACAGCTCCCACACCAAAGACCCGTAAGATGCAGCAACAGCCAAAAGTCTGCACACTGAATGTATGTTTTTCAGAGTCTTAAAGACATTTTGATTTGCAGGCGTATATTTCAGTGCTTAAAATTTGTTTTGTTGTATACACTATATAAAAGGTGAGGTAAATGCATATGGTAAAATTTGCTTAAAAAACAAATGAGCAAACAATAGTTAATTAGGCATGCACAGATATTTTGGAATTGTGGGCTGATGCCAAAAACCGATACTTTTCATGTACATTTCTGCCAATGCCAATAAATAAATATTTGTAGAATACAGGACTGGGACTAGGGGAGGGCAAAAAGGCAAAAATATTTAAAAGTTTTTTATACAAGACATTTTTACAATACACAGTATGTATCATGATATTTAGTTTTTATGAGGTTTGATAAAGTTGGAGATGAAGTTGGAACAGAAACAAATACACTCAAAAACTGTAAATACAATGACTTTCATTCATTGCTTTACACACTGTGATGCACTAAATCCAGTTAAACAAGACTAATTAGGCTCTCTTTTAACGAACTATCCAGTTGTTTGGTGTTCTTTAAGACGTGATCACATCCACGATCTGTGACGCAATTTATCAAGATAATGATAAAATATCATTGTATTGCCCACCTCTAACTGGGACTACAAACCACCATACTTTAGCACACCAGCCCACCAGTGTGAACTTTCAGAGTGCAAATAAATACTCATGTAATATAGGTCAAATATAAATATCTGTCTGATGCTGAAATGTACTTGTTTTTAGCTGCAAATAAGGTTCAGCATATGTGGAACTTTAAGTCTGTTAGAAAAGCACTCCAGGTAATTCCTAGTGAAGCTGCTTGAAAGAGTGCTGAAAGTGTGCAAAGCTGCATAAAAAACATAAAGAAGGAGGATACTCTGAAGAATCAAAAATATGTCAAAATAAAAACACTTCTATGAGTATCCAAACTTTTGGCTGGTACTGTACAAAACCCCAAAAACAGTCCGTACATGACAGTCAAGCTGAAAACCCCATTTAACGCTGTATATGCAGAGGAAGGAAGGGTGTTTTGTGCAAAGCAAAGCATTTTACAGTAAGTAGAATCTGGAGGCCTGTCAGCAGCCTCTCCCAGAGCCTGCCATTCTGAACAGCACCACAAAAATCCAGCTTTGGTAAAGCTTTAAAAACCTGATTTGCAGCAGGAAGCAAAGAGTGTTAGTATGGGTTTAGGTTAATTTGCTTGCTTCTAATCTAAGCCTGTGAGGCCCTTCAAGGGTAGAGGACTGAGTGAGAGCAAAGCAGCAGACAGCAGGAAGACCACAGGTCTGTGAATTTGTCAGACTGCAGAAGTGAAGTTACCGCCAGTCAGAGTTAGTAGGTAAACGGTAGTGGAGCATACACAAGCCCAGGCTGGTTAATGTCCGCAGTAGTCGGAGACGGTCTTCTTCGGATCCCAGTTGGTTAGTAGAAAGCTGGAAGAGCAGGACTAGGCCCGTCTAAGGCCTGGGCCAGAGTTGGGCCCTTACCCCGTTGCTGTGTGTGGAGTGCAGGGACTGCTCGCTGGCTGAGGAGCAGGTGCTGATGCGATCCGTCTCCTTGCTGTGGCTCGAATGTCTGCGCAACTGGCTGGAGACGCGGCTGGGAAGGGAGTCATCCCGCTCCGTGTGGGACCCGGGAGGGCGGCCAGGAGGTGTGGCCGGGACAGAGGCCCAAAAAGGGGCGGGACCTTTTGGGGTAGAGTTTTGGGGGCTCATAGGGGACAAGAGAGGTGAAGGGAGGCCCGTTCGAGGCCTAGGGAGGGCCAGGGTCATGGGGGCCACTGCGGCTCTGGGGATAGGAGATCCTGGCTGGACCTGGGCCTCGGCTGGGGGGCACGTACCTGATGTGCGGCTGTCTGGGTGATGGTGCTGCACTGGCTGGGGGAGACGGGAGGAAGGCTGCGGGATTCTGGAACTGCGGGAGCGCGAAGACGAGCTGCTGCTGCTGCTACTGCTGCCTCCAGGTAGGCCACTGCTACTGCTGGGACCGCCCGAACCACTTGCCCCTACGTGGTTCCGCTGGTACTCAATGGGAGATGTTAGAGCTGAGAGACAGAAAGAAATTCCTTTTAATGATCAGTGTGAACATGAGAACATTTATAATTATGTTATTTTGAAAGCCACCCAACATAAGTAACAAATGAATACATAACAATAATATTACAAAACTATAGTATATTTATTCAGTTCCTTTTTATTTAATACATATACTATATGTCCAAAAGTCTGGAGTCTGAATTAATATTCAGTTTGTTTTCCCTCTAATCTTCTCGAACACTGTTGAGAGACTTTAATTGTATTTAGCCACAAGCATTAGTGAGGTCAGGTACTGATGTTGGATGATAAGCTCTGGATCACAACCACCACTCCAACTCATCCCAAAGGAATGTGATGCTGCTTTGTCACTTCATAAAACACAGTTCTCCATAGCTCAATTGCCCCCCACAGCTGGGGGGGCTTTATACCCCTTTACCTGATGCTTGGCATTAGATATGGTGTCCTTTGGCTCATGTGCAGCTGCTCCAGAGCTCTCTTTCTATTTACAAGGCTTTTCTAAAGTAACTGAAGTCACTAGTTAGAAGTGGTGTTTGGATATTATTGGACATACAGGGTAAAATAGTCTACAACATCAGTCAAAAGTGTGGGCACATCAAAGAGTTTCTTTATTTTCACAATATTCTGCCTTTTAGAGTAAAAGCAAAGACATCAATACTATGAACTAAAGTTCCAAAGAAAAACACTAAATGTATTTATTATCACTATTTAATATCAAATTCACTATTTATAACAAATCTTACACAATTCAAGCATTTAAGCCCAAATCAAAAGATTATGCTAAACATACACTCAATCAGGTGCATTCAAACTTTGGACTAGCGCTGTATTCTTCAGTAGTGGTTCTCAAATTGATCCTCAGGGAAGCCCTGGACGAACCACACCATCCCTATGCATTGCGAGTTGGATTAGTGCAAAAATGTGAACCTTTTGGTGGTCCCTGAGGACTGGCTGAACCACTGCTCCTTGGACATGTGCGTACAGAAATGGAACCTAGAAACAGAAAAGTGAACTCAGAAATAGAAAAGTGAAGTGGGTTACCATTGAGGAAGTTCCTCTGGTTCTCTAAGATGCTGCTGATTTGGTGGACCCAGGTCTGGCAGACCGATGGGCTGGATGAGTGCAGGATGTAACGCTCTGTGCCTCCTGTGGACGACCTCGAGGTCAGAGTGAACTTGCAGGGGTCATTGTCTGAACTGTCCTCTAGTCCCAACCAACTGACCTGCAACAAAATAAGATGGCACACAATATTCAGCATGGAAAAAAGTACATTAAAACAATAAAACAACACTAATAAACATTATGTTCAACTGACCCTCTCAGCATTTCTAAAATCTATTTTAAACCAAACTTATTTCATATTTTATTTAAGTAGTTAAACAGTTCCTTCCTTGAGTTAGAATTTTTCTTTCTTTTGTTTATCAGTTCATTTTCCTTTTCTTTATTTTACTAAATAAATATGTTTTGTTGCCTTTTCTTAGTCTTTTTTTTAGCATTTGTTTGGTCTTTTATAAAAATAGTACAATCAAAAAAAAAAAATTTATAATAATAAAATGAAAATAATTATTTCTAAATTCAAAGCAAAATAAACATCAGAGTCATCTACACAACTGGCCTTGAGCAGAGGGCCTACTGACACCACTGCTAGTGAAAAGCCCTACTTGTGACCCTGCGCACCTTAATGCTGTTTTTGAACAGATAGCCCGGCATGGAGAAGCCTTTCTTCTTGTCCAGAGGCTCACTGAAGATGACTATCTGCTCAAAGAGGAAGACACGACGCTCCTTCATGCGGGACAGCAGGCTGCTGTCCTGATCCGACACCATGAAAGTGTCCTGCAGGAGGAGTCTACCCTGCGCTACGATTTTCCCCTGAAAATCACAAACCAACAGAAAACAAACTTCAGAACTAGGAGCAAATCACCTCCACATACAACACTCATGAGTTTATATATATATATATATATATATAAATGTAACTGCAATGGATGTGGTACCCTCAAGGTTACGATGTACCACCACAGTGACAATGTATGTATCCTAAAAAATACATTTTTTTTTTTTACAGTGTTTTGTGAATTAAAGTGTAAATATCCATACGTCTGGCAAGAAGGACTTACATCAAAGCCCTGGAGACGGCCCACGTTCATCATGTCATTGCAGCGTTTGGGAACGACACACATGACCTCCACAGCTTTCTGAGAAACACAAACCAATACAGTCCCAAAAAATTAAACATGAAACTAATTAGCAAGACAGCAAGACTTTGAAAGGGCAAAAAGAAAATATGGCATCCTCACCTCTAATTCTGTCGTGTCCACTCCAGCCTTTTTGGAAAACTTCAAGAAATCCTAAAACAGGTGAACAGAAAACTGAAATTTCATCTGATAACACTGACAAATATCTCAGGTTTCACTTTGACAGACATGACAACTTCATTTGCTTACATAACTAATACATGTCTTTCCTTTTACTGGAAACAGCAAGCTATTACACTTAATGTGTTTCCGGTTTCAGGTAAGACTGTTTGCTCAATGCTTATATTGTGTCTTGTTGCTGGTCATAGATAGTCATGGACGTCAAAAGGGATGCCAGTGAAACAATGTGTACTGTGTGTTATACAACGTAAGAAAACATCAAGAGATCTAAGCCCAGCAGCTGAAATCTCACTGTTTGAGTCAGAGTGACTGAGTTACCTTCAGCAGCAGCTGGTACTTCATGATCCTCTGCACCGGCTTGATCAGCAGGTCTGTGATCTGCAGCCTGTGGCCCAAACGCTGCTTCAGATCCTGACAGAGTGAGCGAAGAAAAGAGAAAGGGAACAAATAAATAATTAGAGCAACTTAAAAGTTAATAAAGACCGGTTAGTTGTTGCATGACATTTGAACATTTCTTCCCCACAGGCTATAAATAAGATCATAAAAGACATGAAGCATGATATGCAGTAAGTCAGGAGACCACATTATCTTTACTTTAGTTTTTTACTGTTTATGCTAGCCGAGTTAGAAACCTTACTAACTGCTAGGTTAGCTGCTTAGCTAAGTGCTGCTGCACACACCAGTCTTGCCAACAAGTTTACACTTATCTGCACTTGTAGATAACCACACTTAACTACATGCAGAGTGGACTGAAACATCTCTATAAGAGGTCAAGAAAGTCAATATTTCTTACTTTAGTAATTAAGTATGTGTTATTTAATAGGTTTAATATCTTCACTATTATTTAAAAAATGTAAAATACTACCATACGTTTTCCTTTTGGATATTGTTTCTTACCTCAAAATAAGTGTCTATGTACTCAGAGACGATGTGTTCTGATTTGGGCTTGTTCTGGCAGTAGACTATGTACATGTGTAATCGCCGTTCCTGTAGAACAAAATATAGTCCATCATCATCATTAGCACTAATACCATTTCTCAACACTGTAACATTATGTTCTACTTCTTCCAGTGTAAAAGCCTACTGTAATTCACTACTTACTTGTTTGATGAACAGAGGCGCTAGCCTATCAGGATCCTCCAGGCACTTCTCCAGTTCACCCAGGAAGAAGCTGTGCAAAAATGAGCATCAAAACAGCGAAAACTCAGAAAAACTGCAAAACAGGAAAATACGGCCTGGGCAAACTACACTCACTGGCTACTTTACTGGAAATCCTGATCTTTCTGACCACAGAACTGATTTGGTCTGGATATTTTGGGTGACGGTTCACTCTTAACTTATTAGTGACAGTGAGTGTGTTTACATGCACTCAATAATCCGATCATACGATCATAAACGGATTTCTGCAGTCATCTGATTATTCAAATGGTCATGTAAACACCATACTCCGATCTAAAAATCTGATTAAGAGATCCTATAAAGAGAGCTGGATTTTATCTCAGTAATTAGATTTCTCAGTGCATGTATACTCTTACTCAGATTTTTTTCGGATATCTCAGTCTGCACATGCGCGGAACAGATTGCTATACCGGAAATAAGCAAGCAGTGTTGCCGCGAGATGGCAGCAAAACACTTTGGGATCCTGAAACCAACTATATTCTCAACAAAATGAAGGATTTAAGTATTCTTCATCTTCTAGATGATGTATATTCATTTTTTCAGGTAAAGTTTCAGGTAGCAGACCTCAATTTTCAACAGGTGCTGGTGGTGGTTGAACAGTATTTAATGCCTTATCCTTTTTATAGATATCAAGACTTGGAGGATGGGTTAGGGCTGGAGAAGAATTGGTCATGGGCCAGATCTGGCTTATGGGATGCTATAAGATGATCCCGGGTGTTGAGGGTGGCTGACAAAAACATTCATTATAACACATGACAACAGTCTGTAATTGTACACAAATATAATTGACCTATGAGGTGGAGCTCATACAGTGATCAAAGACTAGAAAAACAAGGTAGATGTTTTAATAAAGTGATGGTGAGTGTATATAAAGCTATGCTGTGTCAAAATTGTGAGAAAAACTGTGTTAGGCAAGGTTTACCTACATTTCCAATCATATTAAGACAATTTTAGGCCACCTACTCTTTGTGCCAGTCGTAAATCTGGTGGATGTTTCCGAACACAATCTTGTCTTTGCCCTTCATGTCGTCCGGAACCCCCTCCTCCTTCATCCGGCTCATGTAGCCCTGTGAAAGCGGGAGGACAAAGATGTTGTTACCATGGAGACAGTGACACGGACACCAAACATGCGATCGCACCAGGCAGACACGCTAAGGAGGTGGTACCGCCCACTGACTGCAATTTCACTTCCTGTTCCAAACCTCCACATAACCTCCACATTTCAGCTGGCATTATGAATGATGATCCTTCTAGAATAACACTGCAACACACTGCAACAGTCCCGCACATCCTCAAGCTACTGACTCGTCCATGAGACTGTAAAAGGGTGAGTCATCTGATTGAATTGAACATCTGAACAGCTTACTGTAAAACTCGATGCTGACCTAGAGTTTGACTCACTCAGCCTACACTCCACTTCCTATACATCTCCAGTGTCAGGACCATTTGCTATAACTGTATGCAGAAGCTATTTGCAAAGATGACGCCCAAGTCTAATTCCCCACTCCACAATGTTCTGGTGTGACCGTATTCTTACCTCTACTACTGCACCCAAGTCTCTAACGTAGTCTCTCTCTGTCTCTACCAGCTCCAGAAGCACGTAGCTGCATAAGAACAGAGACATGATTAAAATTACACCTTCATCTTCATCAGCAAATCACTCCTGTTTTGGACTAAGATGCATGAGAGGGTTTGGGAACGTTTCAGGGATAGGGAATGTCAGGGATAGGGTTAGCACATATTGATGCAGATTTGAGTAATCAGACGTTAGAGGGTTAAAATGTACTCTTAGTCCAAATGCAGTCGATGCAGCCAATTTATGTTTGTCTATTTGGCTGGCTTATAGTTGGCTTATACCCAACCAATGGCAAACAGTACATTTTTCTTTATTTATTTTTAGTAAACAGTCTTTAGAATGTGTAACAACTTGATGCAGTTTGAAGCAAGTGTGTGATGAGTTAGGTATGCTGTTTGTAAAATGCTAATTGGTGGCATATAAGCTTCTATTATGTGTTAGCTAAATTAGCCTCACATCAAACATGCTGCCAGAAACTGACAAAGCTTTACTGCTCTAAAATTCTGAGCTTGTTACATCAATGGCAATCTTTACTGTAGGATATGTAAGTGATGTAGTTGCTTACTGGCGTTTCTTGAGGAAGCCTGTCTTGCGCTCATCCATCTCATCGACAGGTGAAGAGGAGGACAGGAGGGAGTTATCAGAGGGATTACAGGAAGGGCTACTACTGTCTGCATGATCAACCGAGAGGGAACTGGGCCGGTCCTCAAGATTCTGAGAGAGAAAGAGAGAGAGAGAGAGAAAGAAAGAAAAAAAACAATGGGGGAAGTAGAGAGAGAGAGAGAGAGAGAGAGAGAGAGAGAGAGAGAGAGAGAGAGAAACAAAGGGGGAAGTAACCAGAGAGAGAGAGAGAGTGAGAGAAAGAGAGATAGAGAGAGAGAGAGAGAGAGAGAGAGAGAAAAAAAAACAAAGGGGAAGTAAACAGAGAGAAACAATGGAGGAAGTAAACAGAGAGAGAGAGAGCAAGTGACAGAGAGAGAGAGCTTGGATGAAAATTTGAAGCTTATAGAAGTCGTCCACAACCACTCAAAATAGATATTATATGAAATATATATATATATTTTGGGCTACTAAAGACAAAATATCAATACATTATTAAAAAACACTCACTAGGCCAAGCTGCCCATTATATTGTGCGGACCACTATTTGATAGGGATAACATAAGGAACAAACTGCTCTTGTGTGTTCATACCATCTTGCTTTTGACGAGTTCCTCGATGGCACTGACCAGTTCGGCTGCACTGGGTGTCTCAGAGCTGCTGGGGCGTCCAGAGAGACGAGAAGAAGCCTGCAGGGAGACACAAAAACAACTCTAAACTTCTCCATCCCTAACAGATCTACTATTTGATTGGTAGATCGGCGTGCCAATATTTTCAGCCGATAAGAGCAAGTTACAGATAAACTGTCTCGGCATTCATAACAACCGATAAATGACAGCCATGCCCGCTTTTGCTGCAGTAATGTGAAAGCCGGTAGTCAGGCAAACTTCACAATCAGCCCATGTTTATCGTTATAGTAGTTGAGTGCTGTAGACTAAGCTGTTGACAAACTTGACTGTAGATTTATTTATGGAAACTACAGCGTTTAACTTCTTCTGGCTAAATGACAAAGCTTAAATCAGCTTTATATTCAAATTTTCCTGTTCCACCTTACATGGTGCGACAGTTTCAGCAGTAGCATTTGGTGGAAGAATGTAAATGCTTCACTATTTATGGTGAAACTGGAAAATTTGAACAAGAAGCTGGCAAATAGAAAGCCAACATCAGCCTCGTGCCCAAATGAAGCAATGGTTAATATATCAGTGACTCGCATATCTGTAGTTACAGTTGGTGCTTTAGAAATTATTAAACCAGAAGGGACAAATAAATAAATGTGAGCTGAACAAGTAGCCAGACAAAATTATCTACCTTCTTTTCAAACATTTGGTGTGTTGTAATGGCACTATCTTGTTAGAGTGTAGAGCACACTGATGTGCTCTGAGACAGAGTTCCGCTACAGTTATGAGTAACACGCCATGTACAGATCCTCTCGCATGGAATCCATTTAATCAATAAATCCTTTAAACGATAATACGCAGGATTTTTTTGTGTTTGTAACACTACAAAGTGAAATCTCATAGTTGCAACTGCATTATGTCATGTTATCTTGGTTAGGACTCTTATATAAGTACACTTAGCAAATGTTAGGGATAATCTTTGTTATGTATTTCTGGAGAAAAAAAAAGAATTGATTTTTAAATTCTCAAATACCACAATTGAAATATGGCTTAAAATTCCTATATCGGTTGGGCTTTACTCATTATTAGAAAAGTTGTGACGTTACTGAGTAAAGGAGTGCTCACAATTTTATCGAAATAGATCACAGTTACAGATTACATTTACGTTTGCAATAATGAAATTAATAAACCCACAGTTTCCATAAAGAAAGCTTGCAATTTTGTTAGGTTTTTATACATCTGGAACTGTTTGTTCAAAACACCTGACAAATTATATGCACTGCAATTAACTGTCAGGTCTTGATTACCATAAATACCACTGCTGTCTGTACCTCTAAAACTGAAAATCAGTACTGCTGTGACACCACTGAAGATGAAACATCCAGTACTAAAGCGGGGGTGTTAAACTGGGTACTTTCCAGGCCATAGCTCTTCAGACTTCAGCATTCTTCCTTTATTATGCACATCTGAATCAACTCATCAGCTAATAAACAAGGCCTCCATGAGCTAACATTAAACAAAGGGTTAAGCTGCAGTTTCCAACACCTTGTGAAACAGCCATGACCAAGGCTGGACAAGAAGACTGATGATGAAAAACAACTTGCCAACCGTAAACAGAAGAAACACAAATAAGATTACATCAGATATGTATATATCCTTACAAGAGCATACTGCTGCAAGTAGCAAAGTCTAGTTAACTAACATGGTTGGCGGCAGTGGTTTGTGTGCAGCAGGGCTTAGCCAAGAAGCTAACCTAGCAGTTCGCAAATTTACTAACTCGCTTACCCTAAACTGGACTTGTGTGTATTTTTCTTCCTCTCTTTTGTGTGTTTATTTATAGCCTGTAGGGAAAGGTTTGCACTTAGACGCTGCTAAAATTGATGTTTCCTCCTTTGTGGAGCTTAAACGCTGCAGTACGGAGACCTGCCCCTTCAGAAAACAACAGAGACAAAGCAGTACTGGCATTGGCTGAGGATGCTAACTCATCTGTCGTAGTTCATGAAAGTTTGTGCTCAGCATTAAGTTTATTGGCCTCAGAAGTCAGATGTGAAATTGTGCATCAAAGTGAATTCTATTGCAATGAATGTACATTTGCTCACAATATTTCACTGATAAAATCCAGGCCTATAGGGAGAGAAAAAAATACTAATTTCTGTAGTGCTGTGATCCTAGAGGAACCCAGTCTGACACACCTGAAAAAGATTAAAACATGTTCTGAAATGAGCAAGAAACAAAAAGGATTCTTTCGAATTGTATGCCTATGCTGACCACTGGTTTCATGGGAAATCTATAACTATACAACTACTGATGTGAAAGTATAATTAATCCAATGGGGAAAAAAAGCTCACCATTGCGATTCTTTGACCCCAACATTCCACCAGTCCAAATAAGGTATGGGGCGTGGCATCTGGACTCACCAGCCAATAGGGGGCCAATTAAAGGGTTATGGGCAAGGCTTGGTTTGGAAAAGGTTCTTTTGGATCTATTTTCGCTAAGAGTAAGTGTAGCACACATGACTGCTTACTGCATGTGATGGTACATACTCCGCAATACTCCATTAAAGGGGTACATGACAGTTCAGAAGAAGAGGGCTTTTCTGCATTTCTGTACATACACAATAGGGTTTTAGCCTTTCTTTAATGTAGTTTCAACATGAGGGGCCTTAGCTTTGAGTGACCAGGTCTGATAAATCAAAGCTTAGGTCAAAGGCTCATGGAGTATTCAAATGGCCAAGAATTGAGAAGGAATAAAGGGAAGAGGGTAAAGTGAAAAGGCATTAAAAAGAAAGGGATATAATAAAGAAGGAGAGAAAATGGTTTGAGTAGGGGCAGCTACATGGAGAGATATGGGAACTGGGACAAAACAGACGCAGAACAAAAATCAACATAGTGCTGGAGTGTAAAACAACATCAAAAAACAAGAGAAAAGTGAGACAAAAGTGTTAGATTAAAACTAGCAAAAGGACTGTCAGGCCATTTTAGCATAGAGCTGCACAATATGGACAAAATAATAGCAATGTGATTATATTGCTACTTATTGTGATTATGATATTTGCAGTCTAATACAAATATATTCAATGTTTATTTTCTGGTGTTTTATCCAATTGTCTTTCCAATTTAGTCATTGCCAGTTCCATCCACTATTATGGTCTTAAGGACTCCCAACCACAGGTGGCTGTGGCATGGCCAAGGCTTGAAATGATCACCCAATCACAAGTCAGAAAACTGCAGAGAATAAACAAAGGTACAGTGCTCTCTGAAATATACTGTTATTGAGTTAAGTAACTTAATTGACTACTAATTTAATTGAAAAAATGATGTTGATAGAACTTGCTTACTGTACTGCAGAACAAACTCAGTATATGTGAATGGTCAACATGTGTGAGCTGTAGCAGTCACACTGTCATAGCGCTCATGTCATGCAAAGGTAGCATGGGCCTTAGATGGCTAGCCACGGTTGTTGGATACAAATCATCTTAAACTATGATTGGTCAGGATGCTTACATTACTCAGTAAAAACGTGGTTAGATGTAGTAGTGGTCAGTATGGCCAAAATAGGCTATAATAAAAATTTCTGATGTATATATATATAACATTGTATAAGTAATTTCAATTAAAATGCTTAAGTAAACTGACAACTCAGTCATTGAGCTAAACTACATTAGCGTGGTTAGCACTGTTTCTACGTGGTGTTGTCTGTGTTTATTTGTGGCATACCAGTACAGCGGCAAAGACAAAACTCATACCTGAGGAAAAATGAATGATGAACTGGGATAGTCCACTAATTAGAGGGATCTTTTGCGTATTGCAGCCTTCTGTGGTATCAGGATCTCAAAGGTCAATATCGCACGACAAGTAATAAATAATGTATTGTGCAGCCCTACTTTAAGCACTTTTAAGACGGTGAATTAACAAAGGCTACAGAGTGTATAAACCTGTCTGTACAGAAATCATTATCTGTAGTAACTTAAGTGCATGAAAATAAACATAACAAATGAAAAAAATCCATAACAATAAAAAAGAAAGGCAGAAAATGAAAAAACAATGATGCAAAAGTATAACTGGCTCATTTGCTTATCTTTCTAGCTCACAAATGTGAAACGTGCCGGCAAAGGAAGGCCAGCTGTAGCCGTGGGGGACGGAGCTTTACCTTGTCCTCCTGGGAGTCCTGATGAAGCAGACTGTGCTGCTGAATGGCCATGGGCGGTGGCAGGGGAACAGAGTCGGCCCCCTCCTCTCCTTCCTCCTCCCCACAGCTCTGCATGCCTGAGGAGGATGACTTGGAGAGCGTGCCACTGCTCAATCCCTCATTTCTCATCCTCTGCAGACAGAGAAAGAGGGAGAAAGGAAGGGTGAGAATGAACAGAGATGTAAGTCACATTATTATTAAAAAACCCATGCTGTCTCATAAGGCAAATTATTTCCTGCAATAATAACTTATTATTAAAGCACTCCGTAGACAAAGTTCTTTTTTTAGGGCTGTCACTATCAATATGTTAGCAATCAAGTAGGCCCAAGCTCGAATAACCAAGTGACAAGTGCAGTAACAACCCCCAGTAACAGGAAACACTCACGTTGTTCGTTTACTGATTTATTTCTTACAAACCAAAGGAAGTGACAAGTACTTTCACATATGCAATAACTGAAGTTTTAATCATGCTGGGTCCTACATTAATGCCACATTTTCTGTACCTAACATAGATGAGACTATCACGTACTGAGCTGCATTTGCTGAAGCACTGTGGTTTACATTTAAGGACATCCTCAGACCACAGTGTCAGGTTTCATACATCAGATAGAACAGCTTTAGGTTTTGGGAAAAACTGGCACATCTCAGCTCTTGTACACTTGTATATCAGGGAATCAGTTTCAGGAGAAATGGCCTTGGACGATAAAGCTCATGTGACATTCACAATTTCTTGACTGATTACAGTTTCTCAAGATTGATTACAGTTTCGTGGCTATATTAAAGATGATGATATACTACAACCACAGTTTGACAGAACTGCACTATTATGCACTTTTATTTGACAAACACACACACACTATCACTGTATTTGCTTTGTTTTTGCCAAGCGCATGAGAGGATTTAGACACAGGTGTAGTAATCAAATCAACTGTCATTCATTCATTCATTCATTCATTCATTCATGTGTAATTAGTTTTTAAAAATCGCAAACAATAAAAATTGATTTAATGTAACCGAACAAAACTAAACCATGCAAAATATTACATTAATAAACCATTTTCTCCCCACCAATTTAGATGTATCCAGTTCCCAATGCTAGTTTGGTCTCCCTCAATCAGATGATGCTACCAAGCTGGAACGGTGAAGGCTAGCTCACGCTTCCTCCAATTCACGCAAAGTGCTACTATCTTTTCTAATGTCATTAGGCAGCTCAACATGCTTAGCAGAAAACTCTAACTGCCAATTCTATTACATTAACTAACATGCACCTGCACTGGCTAGCATTGCTCTGAGGGAAAATGACAGACATCCCGCCCACTGAGAGAGTGAAGTCAATTATGCTGTCTTGGACTAACGTCCATGGATGGCTGCAGTAGCGAATCATGATCTCCCAATGAAAGGGTCAGTGCTTAAATGGCTGTGCCACTCTAGCGCTCCAAATTGTTATTATTATTTTTTAATCATGACAATTGCAGTAAAATATTTTATACATATTTTATACATATACGTCTTAAGTACACTGGCACTGTGAAACAGACAAGTTTTATTTAAACATGTATAATTTTGGGCCTAAACTAGCTTAACTTTTCAGGTGGAAACGCGCTTTATCTCAGAAAGCTGCATGATAAACTACATACGCAAAATGACGCAGGTTGCCATGCAGGTGTTTTTTTAAGGGAAGAATTCAGCTAGGGTCACTGCAAAACCACATGTTTCCGGTAGATGAAGGAATGATCTATTTTGGGTGCATGGCATTTGAATGACCTGAATGAATGTGTGACTGTTTGGGTCCCTCAAAAGTCAGTTTATTTTAAACACAAATGTAAAGTTCTTGAACACAATTTATAAATATAACACTAGCTACAACCTGTGCTATTATTAGTTTTGAGTGACCAGCAGCGGCTGTGAGAAGCACAGCGGATGCTCCTCATGCAGCTGCACACAGCTCGTGATAGCAAAAAAAAAAAAACAACCTTTTTTGGGTTAAAGGGGAATTCCATCGATTTTTCAAAATTTCTCCACAATTCAACCGTTAAGTGTCAATCAGAGTGTTCTGATGCAAAATGCTCCATTTAAAGACGCTTACTGAGTCATAATTGTTCTTAGCAGTGGTGATATGAACCGGATGCCTTACAGAAAGTTGCATGAAATGGTTACGCATGCGCTGCCTGATGCCTGATACTGTTTAATGGTATTTTACAAAACCCGGTGGTAAATGCAGGGTGTTGTGAGTCAAAAATATATTAAATGAAAACTTATTTATTGGGACTTGGCATTATTTTACCAATATCAGCATTAAAAGTAAAATCCAGAATGTCAATAAAATGGCTATATTTGTGTTGTAGACATTGTGACCCTGGGTTGGGTTCCTATCACTACCACTGTAAAGAGTAAGTTTCCGAACAATGAATCATTTCACATTAAACCACTCTGAATGACTTTCTCTATGTCAATGATTAAATTAGGGTCAAACTGTGAAAAATAGGTGGAATTCCATTTTAACTATTGTGAAGAAAGATGGGGTAAAACACCTCCATCTTTACTATTTGTTATAATCTTATCTTTAAAAACCCTCAAGCTGCAATACAAACTCAGAGGGGGGCTCTGGCCTTGAGCATGTCTGTAAAAACTAAAAAACATGATATGTTTTTACTAAGTTTTCTTACCCTGAAAATATCAAACCTCAACACCAAACCTCAGTAATATTAATAACATGGAGTTCTAAAGTTTTTATCCAACAGTGATGGAATGCAAACGAGTAGCCACTTTCAGTCTCATCAGGAAGCCCTCAATGCAAAGTTTTCCTACTATAACCTTACAAACGCATCCTGATGATAGGGTTCACTTTTCTCTGTCAGGCGAAATTCCACTGGACCTGATTAACAGCCAGATCAGTCTATTTCTGCTGTCCCCATGACACAAAGCCCAGTTTCCTAAAAGGTGAAACAGCTTCAGAGAACAGCTGGTGAGAAGTCACTAACAGCCCGACAGGCGCCATTACGGTACACTAACAAATAACACAGCAGCTGGGCCACGTTGACAAGTACTGATATAGAAACAGCAGCATAGCCACTCCATACTTACAGCACTGAACTGGAAAACTTAAACTGTGTGTTAAATAACAATCAGGCAGGAATAAAAAAATGAAATGTGCTGCTCACAACAGAACAGCATTTAGGAAATGAAAGCTAAAACACTTCAAATAAAGAAACAGACACTAATAGTAACCATCTTCCACAGTTTTATGGACATTTTCTTGAACATGTCCAAAGAAATTCTCAAGAGCACATCCAGAAGTGTCTGTTTTTAACTTTACATGTAACTGTTTATTATGGTCCTATATATATACATATATATATATATATATGTATGCATACAGCTGTATGCAAAACCTTCTTTTTAACCTTCAGTGAAATTAGATGTGAATCTCCAAAAGAAAATATGGTAACACATCTACAATCCTCTACAGAATATTATATACATATACATTTTATCTAAATCAAAATAACAAATTCTGCCACATATTACATTCAGCAAATAAACAGTAATTTTACGTCTTCTCACACATGATTATACAATATGCCCTTTGCATAAGTACTGTTAGTGCATCAGAATAAAATTCATTTTAAGCTTCTAGCCCTCCCTAAAAATGTGAGGTGCTGCAACCATCCCACTATATTTGCAGACTGAGTGAAAATGGAATTTAGTTATATAAAACATTTCATGAAATAGTTTGCTGTAATTTTATGATTGAAACCTTTAAAAGTATTCAACTCTTCGCAAAACTTTTTCCCAGAAATCCTGACTTCCTCAAATGTCACGCAGGACAAACAACAACAAAGGACTTTACTTTGACGTGCTGTTAAGAAAGCGGAGACAGGGTACTGCATTATAAAGTGAGCTTCATGCTGCAATGCCAAGGTCAGTAGCCCTTTTACAAATATTTGGGGTGGGAGTGGGAACGAGGCATTGTTAAGCTGATTCAGTAAGGTGGTGTGACCCCAGGAAAACCATGAAAATGTGGTATTATGAGTTATTATGTTTATATAGGTGCTGTACAAATAGTAGTTTATACACGCTTTCAGAAGTCAGTATAATATTTTTTTATTAATGTCTTGTTGTGCCACCTAACATATTCTGGATGGTAAAACTGATTATTGAATTTAAAAAAGAATTTAAACCATTATCAAAGATGTGGAAAAAATATGAACACACAGAAGAGATTTTTGCAGGTCCAAAAATTTACATTCATTTTTAATAATTTTTACATTTAGAACTTTGAAACTTCTGAAAGTCATCTATCATCAACCCACACACCAAGTTCTAGTAATAAAAAAATAAAAATGATACCAAAACATACAAATTAATTTCAAACCCCATTTTGTGGGTGAGTGTGTTTTTTTTTTTAATTAGAGCATGATTAAAAACTTTTGTGGCTGTGGATAAATCTTAGAAATCATTAGTGACTGGTTTCTGTTTATCATCTTAATCATCACTGTATTCCTATGTCTATCATATATATCTTCACTATGCCACAGTAATGGCAATTCACTTAAATATTCTACAATTAAACCTCATCATAGACATTTAATAAGGCCTCCCACTTCCAACACTTACACATTATCTCTACAGATAAATGGTGGTTAAGATGAAAGAAGAGCGAGTCCTCACTGATTTAATAAGGTAGCCTGTTTAGGAAACTTAATTGTGGTTAATAATGAAACCGGTTAATCTCGGTTATATAAACAGTTCTTCCCACTCGATTTCAGATAAAGAGTACTGTTCTGTGACTGTAAACCACATAGCCTGATCTAGCTATAGGATAGGGAAGAGAAAAGGAGAGTTAGTTTTGGTCAGAATTACAAGGCTCTGTCTTTATCCTGAAATCTTTCACTGCAGCTTTTTCCACTCGATCTGTGCTCTGACTAACTGCAGACAGGACTAAACAATAGATCAATGGCTGTAAGATAAGGTTAAAATAATGTACAAAACAACGTATTTGCAATGTTCTCATTACCGCAACAGGTTCTCTTTCCTACTCGCCTTTAATCATGTTAGATAAGAAAAGTGTTATAAAGGACGACTGACCTAAGCACGTTTTGCTAAAAAAGAAAGAAACCATTTTTATTCACTGTACACATTTAGACCTTAATGAAGTATTTGTTAGCCAAAATCTAATATTCGAACATTTTTCTACATACAATAGCCTACGTCAGTAATGATAATAGTGTTGTGTTTAGAGCCTAAGATAATTATCAGTGCTCAAAACGTAGCAGAAGAGAAGAACATCAAACACAGGCACTTTGTAAACTTTTGTCGCTATCCAAAAAACAAAAAAACAAATTCCCAAATAGTAACTTCACAGGAGAAGCTGTAAAACTCTATGTTTACTTTTAATGTATGCTAATGTAAAGAGGTTTTATTCCAAGTGATTCTGGAGCATTTCTATTGCAACTTAAAAGCTGCCATATACAGACGACATAGAAAAATACAAAGTGCCGAAAACTGAAAATAAGTCAACACATCCTCTACAGTGAACATACATCTGTGCATTTTAAAGCCTGATCACTCTTTATTTGCTGAATTCATCATATTAGAGATAAAATGTGCTCTGTGCAAGTTAAGTTTTTTTCAGTATGTTAAACTGTACACTAAAATTTGCAGAAAAATACCACATTCCAGTGTGTTCTCTGTAGAGGATGTGTTAACTTATTTTCACTTAGAAAATCAACAAAACATTTCATTTGACCAGTGATGTTCAAACTTTTGCATACATCATGCCCTAATCCAATGAATCGTTTTTGAGGAGGGACTTGTGCACATGAGCAAGAATTAGAATCACAGGGTGAGTAAATCGAAACTGTTAATGATCTATTTTGTTCTATCACGCAGTTAAAGTAATTACATTTAGTTTGTTAAAAGTTATAGAGTGACGCTGCCTCTCCACCACCCCCACCATGCATTGCATATGGGGAAGGGCCTGGCCACTGAACTTGGCACACATTAGTTCAGGTTTAGCTTTGGCAGGCAGCCTGATTTTGCTGGTCTGCATGCTGTTCACTTTCACTCTGATAATAAACAGCATAATTTTTGCTCAGCTGCAGCGAGTGATTCAAAGTAAAGTTAAGCCGACATTCCTTTCTGTAATTTACAAACGAAAGGCCTCACTCACCAATATCTTTCCAAGTCTTTATCTAAGTTTTTTCTAAAATTTTTTCAGGAGAAAGGTCCTAAAAAAAGTCTACATCAGATTCATGATGTGCAGAACCTTTGTGCTCTTCAGTGTGCATAGATTTTGTTTTTATCTAAGAACAAATTCAAAATAAGAAAACACTGGTCGATGTCAGAATATTTGTAAAAACTGTGTAAATGGGTTTTGAGAAGAAATTTCTTCTTAAACGGTTGGCGAATGAGGCCTGAAGTGCTTATAAACTACAACAAAAAAATCGAGAGATGAAGTAGATAATGTGATCGCTTGAACAACTGTTGGCTCTTATAATATTATAATTAGATCATATAGAAGAAAAAGGGGAAATTGATTAGAGAAGCATCTTTTAAAAATGCTCTGAATCCATTTAAATGATAGCATCAATATCAAGTGGAAATAAAATCTAATATAAAACACAATGAAAATACAAAACTAAATCAGTTAAATCTCTGTACTGTTGCTGTACTGGTGTTTTTGTCTGCTGTAGAAGCCCAAGAGACCAGGCTATGACCCAGCGAGTCAAATACACGCATTAGGGATGTGCACTCTGAATAATTTTAGTATTTAAGTATTGGCAAGAATTCATGAATGGATATCTGGTTTACTGCAGGGAAGGAAAAACAACAACAACAACAAAAAAAGACTGTTTTGTTGGTCAAAAACAACATATGGCTATAAGCTTATCTTTTTAGGTGTTTAGGTATTCAAAAACAGTCAAGGGAAATCGGTAGGTTTTCGTGTTGGTTGAGAATCTAACTGTTCTATGCAGTTTCACTATTTTGTGTGCATTTCCAAAAACTAGATTGTGGGGGAAAGTGGCTGTTAAAGCTAAAAAGGTTTAGTCTAAGCTGGCTTTAGAAGGTTGCATGTCACGCTAATCAGCACTAACCTCCTCCACGCTCTCGTCCTGGGGCGTGGCTGCGCTGTCGTCTGAGTCTTTCTGTGAGCCGCCGTCTGCGTTCTTGCGCACATCACGGCTCTTCTTGTGCTTGTGTGCCAGCTTCTTTACGTGGCCGTCCGCCTTTCCACTGCTGAGCCTCCGCACTGGGCTGGTCAGCCATTTGCGCAGCGTGTTGCCTGGCCGCTTGGCCCCTGGAGAACCCTGCAGGTGCCCCGGCTGCAGAGTAGCACTGCCTGACAGTCCACCATCATTACTGGACACAGAGAGGGTATCTGGAAAGAGAAGAGAGAAGGATACTCTACTATAGCACATACAACACAGCATATAATGTAGAACAATCATAGCACTGCTCATCAAACATTTGCATTGAATTTGAATTTTCTCAGTAATATTTGTTTTTCTTTGCTACTTTTGAATTAAATAGTTGAAATAAAACAGATATGTACTAATATTTTGGGTTTGTTCTACAACACTTAAAGTGTCTTCCGTGGTATTAAGAGCATTATTTACCTAAATTATGATTTGGGCCTAATGTGGTTTAAACAACTGAAAGGTTAGACACAAGGGGATACAATGTGTGGGGTACGTCATTATTCCTAAAGTTGTGTTTTTGTCAGTAGTTCCTTCAGTTTTATAGTTTTTAAAGAAAATAAGCTTATTATATCCTATTATACAGTACATTGATTAATACTGTGTAATAACACTTCAGACCTATGGGAAGAGGTTAACTAAGCCGTTTCTGCAGACTTCCGAGTGGAGTGGAAATATGGAAATCAGCCTGTCAGATACATGTACTAATATAATTAAAAAAGTTAAAATCAAAATAAAATGTCTATTTATTAAAATATTTTAAATCTGATTCAATATTAAATTTACTTTAGTTTCTAGGCTGATTCTGCATTTTATCTATTATGTAAAAGTGGGTAATAAAATTATTTACCACTTGTTGCTGCAAAGAATGTGTTTTAGAAGCGGACAAAAGTCAACACACTTCAAGTAAGGATTACAGAAAAACAAGAATTTTTAATTTTTTCTTTTTTAAATATGATATGATAAATTGTTCTTAATGAAAACAGGAACATAAAATAACACCATAAAAAAATATATACATCATGTCCTAATCCATGATGTGTGTGTGTGTGTATATGTATATATATATATATATATATATATATATATATATATATATATATATACACACACACATATATGTATATATTATTTATTTATTTAATTTTATTTCAGGTTGACTTTAAAAACATCATGTCCCCTGACTTAATGGGCAGTGTGGGTAACATATTACTGGATAAATTGAGGCCACATGCTACAAAGGTCTTAAGAATTTTTTTACATTTTTATATTTTTATGTATATGAATATCTTTATTGTCACTGTACAAGTATGACAAGATTCAGTATTCAGATTTTCAGACTAAATCACAACTGTTAGCTCATAAACACTCTAAAACTAAACTGGATTTAACTGGACAAGTACTGTGTTCTGTCCCACAGCAGAGTTTGGATGAGATCATAATATATTTAGATGCACCATGATGACAGCACTATCAAGAACACTAGACTGCAGTGCTTTTATTCTCCCCTCAAAACAGATGATTCTTTTTTACAAGCGCCGTGCTGTCCTCTGAAATCGTCTTAGCTGAGCGGGCCTTATGTAAAGCTTGCGTAAGGCATCTCTTCTGTATTGATCTCCACACAGAACCACCTCCACTGTCTCTGCAGACTGTTCCTTAGGGACATGTGGGAGCTGTTAAATAACTCTTCACTTTAAGATCTGTTAATTGGGTTATTTTGGGAGGCTTTGTAAATGAATCGTCTGTGAGGGTCAATTCTATTTTTGTCTGAAGTCTTGCAGTCTGTACACGTGCAATGCTGGAGAAAAATCAACATCATGGAACAAGCAGTAAATGTCTATAAATGTCACCTTACAAGTGAACTCTTTCGTTTTTACTACATGAAGCCTAACAGATCGTATACAATCACTACCCACATTATTAAAAACTCCTACCTTTTGGCTCCACCTAGCTGTTAGAGAGTGTAGCTCATCTGCTGATGTACGGTTTCTTTTAGTCATCCTCTAGTCCTTCATTAATGGTCAGCTTCTAACCCCGGAGCTGCTCTTAGCTGGATATTGTTGGGTGATGGTCTTCTCTCAACCTGGCAGTGACACTGATGCGTGTAAAAATCCCCCAGCAACAGAGACAGCAGTGTCTGATACACTCATAACAGCACCACACACACTACCATACCACTACCATGTCACTGCTGTGCGGAGAAAGATCCACCACCCATATAACATCCAGCAGTCCAAACAGCAGTCCTGTGGTCAAAAACTGACCAATGATGAATGGAGGAGAGGGCAGCTCACAGATTGATCTGCGTTCTCCAGTAATTGCAAATCTATAGCAAAAGTGGCAAAAGTGAGACCATCCTTCACTTCTACAATTTCCAGTCAAGACGACCATTAAGCATAAGTCATTCTTTTTCAGCATCAGGAAAAAACAGTTAAAAACAAATCATTGCTGATCCCAACAAAAAAAAGACGAGGGATAATATCATTTTAGTTGCTACTGTTTGGAATTTGAAGGCTCACTATGACCTACTTTACAGCGATTTCTGACCTCAATACCAACCTTCACACATACACAAGCACTTAACACGACATCCACCAAAATAACACACAACTGCACAAATGAACACACACCACTGCGGATTTGCCTACAGAGGGTTACACAGACTTGTACTGTATACAACTGCTGTATACAACCGTATGTACTGAGTGGACAAGAGTCAAGGCTACCAAGACCTTAAGTTACCCAATAATACCCACCATTAACTACAATTAAACAGCACAGTTAACCCTGAACTGCACCATGCAACATGACTCACTTAGAGCAGCACTGGTCTACTACAGCCATCACTAGGGCTATAATGAATTTGATTGAATTAAAATATTTAAGGCATAAAAATAACAAGTACATTTACTACTGTCATGAAACCACACACTTCCCTTTAGCAAGCGGTTTCCTAATCTGTTTGCGTACTGACACAACAAGCCTTTGACGCAAACAACAGTTTGTGGTGGGTCGTTCTGAATGTCAGTCAACACACCTTGGCCACAGTGACGAAACCCAGCACAGTCTCTGGTGATAGTCAGATGCAGAGACTCCACTCCTGATTGTCTGTTTTAGAGCTCCAACTAGCTCCAAATCCTGCTGCTCCAGATGGCTTGCTAGCAGTTGCAGTTATTTCTGAGCACACTAGCTGTGCTGAGCTGCAGGAAACGTACTCAAACTGCACCTAGCATTAACACCAATACCTCTGAATTGAGCACATGCTCCGGAAGAAAGCAGTCCCACTGATTTTTTAAACGTTCTGTATAATTATACTGATAACATGTAAAAAGTCATTCAGAGTGATTTGACGTGAAATGCTCCATTTCAGAGAATCTTGCCATGGTGGTAATAGGAACCAGACATTTGAAGAGGTAAATGCCTCTAAAAGTGTCCTTACATGTCCTGTAAAGCAAAATAGTCTTTGTTTTTTTTTTTCAGATTTACAACTATTTTTAGCACTAGTTTCTAATTTTCCATCACTAACATTAAGTGAGAGCAACAGTGGAACTGCATGTTCCAACCAAGGAGTATATATAAACTACATACAGCCATATGGAAATGCTGAACACCCCAGCTCAAAATACGTTTTGTTAATTTTGTAAGTGAAAATACGTTAATGGGGGACAAACTTACACAACATTTTTCTGCTCATTTTAGTGCACAATTTCTATTTATTTGCTCACTTCAACAGATCGGAAAAAGATCAAACGTGGCACAACTTTCGCGCCTTTTTTGCATAATTTTAAAACCCTAGTTACCCTTGACATAGTGTTAAAGTTTCATGATGAAAGGATCAAAAGAAACATTTAAAAATTATTTGGAAAACATTTTGTTACTTCCAGTACGAGTTATAAATGTTTTTTTTGTCCTTCTTCTGTAAAGTTGCAATTTTGGAGATTCGAGGTAAAGCTCCGTTTGTAGCTTTTCACTTTGGTGTTGCTTTCACTAGTTTCGTTCTCATTGATTTATCCATAGCTCCCTGCAAGCACTGTCCAGCGTAGTCTGCTGAAGGTATTGCTTTAAAAGCCATTTAAAAGCTGTATTTGAATGATAGGGCTACAATCATTGATTCCATCACAGCAAAATACAGTGTGCAAGCAGCTAGGCTTAGTTTGAAGGGTCAAACAAATTTAAAAAATCTGTTTTAATATATTGTAAGGAATATTGCAACTACATTAAGTAACATAATTGCAAGGTGGATTTTATCTACATCATGTAAGCCTATTATAGAGATGTCAACATGGGACAGAGACATACATAACATAGCTCACTAACATCCTATAAAGCCCTCTGTGGAAGCTTATACTAGCTCCTGCACACGAGAGTTCCTGTGGTATTAAAAATCATTCATAATTTCCATACTATGAATGGTGGGTGGTGGCTATAGTGTAATGGGTAACACCTCTGTTCTCTATACTCTAAACCCAGGCTGGGGTTTGAGCATTTGCCAAATGCAGTAAATGCAAATATCTAACTTCATAAGCCAGTGATGTGCAGTTTGCCTTAGAAATGCTTAATATTCTTACACGTACCATTTCATAGAAAGGTCTGAAGTGAAAGACTGTCAAATCGAAACTGGACTGCATGGTTTTGTAAGTAAAACATACATGCCCCCCTCGCCCACAAACACATACTTCTGAAAAACCCTGCCCTTGATTGCAAACAGTAGGTCTGAATATGACACATTATTCCAACCAAAATGACTCAGTCTACCAATACCACAGATTGTAATCTCAGCATTTCAAGTGTATGCGTGTAAACTATGCTCGCAAACTTCACCACTTTGCTATGAGAAACAGGACATTCTTTGCAGCAAGAGGTGTTGCATGTGCAATCACCTGCAGGGCTGCAAGGCGTTGTGTTCAAAACTGATCAATCTATTCGTATCCATGCTAATCAGACCCACTTTGATTGCTAATATTCCCAATAATCCAGCAAAAACAACAGCTGCAAACCTAGTAAGGCTTTCCTTCAGAGCCCTTAAAAAAAGAGACAACTCTAGTTCTTGCTGTATGCGAACTATGTGAGACGTATTTCAAATCTTCTCCCATCTGAATGTCGCTTTTTGAAGGAAGGAAACAGGCATTTGAATGGGCACCTGAACAGAGGCAGCTTTTAGTGGTGCTGGAACAGGTGCGTG